TCTCTCTCTCTCTCTCTCTCTCTCCCCCTCCCTCCCTGTCTTCCACTCTCTCTTTTTCTTCCTTGTCCCTACTTCACCATCCTCCCCCTCATTCTTCCCCTTTTCTGCTCTCCTCCCACCTCCTCCTGCCAGAGCTTGACACCTATTCTCCCTTAATAAGGTCTCTCTCTCTCTCTCTCTCTCCCAGTTTCTATCTCTTCCTCTTTCCTTCACGCTCTCAGCATGACAACCTAATTAGGGCTCGATGTCTGTTATTGTCTCAGGATCACACACACACACACACACACACACACACACACACACACCGTCTCAGTACAGAGAAATCCTCAGTGTCAGATTATTCTGTTCAAATGAAGGATTGTTGTTGTTTCCTCAACATTTAGCTCTGATACAGAACACACACACACACACACACTCCTGGATCACAGTTCAGTTCAGTTGTACACTAGTAGTCGTGGTAACAGAGTAATACTCCATAATACTCTGTATAAGTTTTAAAGAGCTGTAACCCCCCCCCCCTGACCCTGATCACACACCTGGTCCTTCACCCACTGAGCCACAGGCCGTTCTTGACCAGGGTTTAGAGAATGTTTGTTCTTCAAACCTCAGAACCAGGCCTGGAGCTGCAGTACTCCACTTGGCCACACGGCTTCAAGATGTTGTCATAACAAAAACAACTGAAGAGAAAGATGGAGAGAGAGAGAGACATTCACTGGTGGAGAGAGAGAGAGAGACATTCACTGGTGGAGAGAGAGAGCGGGAGAGCTGTTCAAATCAGACACAGGCTGGGGGGGGGGTGGAGGAGGTGAGGGAGAAAAAAATCAATTTTCTCTGCAGGTGTAGAAACCTCAGTTTAGGCTGAGGGTGAACTGACACACACACACACACACACACACAGATTTAAGTGTAAAAACTCAGGTTTGTAATTTTGTTGGTGTCAAAGTAAAAATCTCTCCTAAAACGTCGACAGATTGTGTCCCACCGGGGGGGGGACAGGGGGGGGCGATGTCCCCCAGTAGATATATAAATGAAATACACACATAAAACTGTGACATATTTAGTGAGAGTGTGTTTGTGCCCCCCCCCCCCCCCCCACCGTCGTGCTCCCTCT